GGGCTTTAATTTCCCCTGCTGACAGCTTTTAGTGTCCTCTGCCGCTCCCTCACATCCCCTAAATAACAGAAACCAGGATGCTGCCCACCTTGGTTCCCTCCCAGCACCCTGACCTTTCCAGCACACCACTGATGTCCCTCTCCAGGATGAAGTGCTGGTGATGCTGCTCCCGGGAGAGAGGCAGGGAGGGTGTGAACAGCACAGGGTGAGATCACCTGCCAACAGCAAAACTTCATCCTCCTTTGCTGTGAACCTGGAGCAGCCTTTTGGACACGAACTGCATAATCCTGGAAAGAGTCTCTGGCCTGGGAAATCCTTAGCTTTCCTCCCCTTTTTTGTTTTTCTTCCCCCCTTCCAGAGATGTCTAGACTAAGGAGCAGCATTTATCTCCTGTGAACAGCACTGAGCATTGCTGGAAAGGGCATGGAAGGCTTTTCCTCCAGCCACCCTGCCATCATGGTAGCTTCCTGTTCAGGCTGTGAGAACCCTTCTTGAGCCTTCATCCTCCTCCAGTGGCCCCTGCCTGTGCCTGAGGGAAGGTGTGCAGGCCCCATCTCCATCCTGCAAACAGGAAGGGTCAGGATGTGTCCGTTTGCTGCCATGTCCCTGGACATGAGATGGAGCCTGTCTGCTAGCATGGCTCAGCCTGCTGCCACACTTCCTTCTCTCCTTCTGCACTGAGAAGAGCTAAAAAGCAAACAGAGACTGAGAAATCAGTGCAAAATCCAAAATGAACCTAAATTCCAGCTTCAAGATCATCTCCTTTATCTGCAGCACATCTCTGTCCAGCCTATGTGTTCACCTGTGGTTGGTTTTTTATCTCCCTGTATTTCCTTTTTGATTTTTCCAGAAACAGAGATGTGCATCCTAGACTCAGTGAGCCAGATTTTCGTATCACTCTCAGCCATGGAGAAGACCAGGTATTCACAGATAAGCACCCAACACATGCCCTTTCCAGTATCCTCTCTGCAAACACCAGCCCTGTGGTGTGTGCTGAGTCCTGCAAATGCTGATCTGAAAGGTTCCTTCATGTCCTCTCACTTTCCTCTCCTGGGATGTCAACAGAAAACTCACAGTCAGAAATAACTTAATGCTTCTCCCTCCATCAGCCAGGTCTAACAGAGGACAAAGGAAGTGTTCTTCTCTATTCTGTTACAGAATGTCTCAGCTATAAAATGGGGCCAAATGGCCTCCCCCTGAGCACAAATAACAACAGGAGAAAGATCCATATGCAATCGAGTGTAGGATAAATGTGCTTAGCTGATCGTTTGTTTCCCTAATATTTTTTTTATGAATAGGCTTAGCTTATGGTAAGATGGGACTTTATGGTCCTGTAAGTCTTGCTTGTGTCAAAACAAATGAACTAGCCATCCTAGGGGGGAACTATCAATCCAATATACGTGTGTGCATGGGTGTGGGGAATCAGACCTATTATACCTTTAAGAGCAAATTAGATGCTGTTCCTATGATTCATAAAGCTATATATCTAATGGCATGACTCGTCATCTAGAAAATAAACGTTTCGAGCCAGTTTCTCATCTCATAAATTTCCCCTCTGGCACTGAAGGACATAAACTAAATGGGCTGACTCACAGGGAAACAATACAATTTGGATATTTTTAAATGAGAGATAAAATTGCTTTAGGGCACAGAGGGGTGCTGGGGTCCCGGGGCAAGCACAGGACAGCACATTGTTGGCAAGCACAGGACAGTGCACTGGGGGCCACTGCCATTCCCAGCAGATCAATCCCCCCTGGGAAACCCTTCATGATTCCAGACCCTCTTGGGCCTGTGAAAACATGACCACCATGATGAAGCATCCAAAATGGAAGTGGTCATGTTTAAGATGGATTTGTGTAGATGCTGTCTCCTGGCAGGGAGGAGAGTACTCACTGCACTCTGAGCATGGCAGGGAAGGACAGGAGATGTGGAGAGCCCAGCCCAAGGCAGGAGGAGAAGGTGGATCTCAGCCACCAGAGACCAGGAAAGTCCTTGTGAACTCATTCCCACCTGAAGCTCTCCCAAAGGCTGCAGCTTTCCACATTCTCTGCATCCTTGTCCATCACTCTTGGTCCTCCTGTGCCACTGAGCTCCTTGTTTGGGTGGCAGCTGCCATTCCCTTCCTCTGTGTGATCTTACCCACTCCTGCTCCCCATCAATTTGCTCTTGATGCTTCCCTACCCCTCAGCACGCACTCCCCAGCACCAGTGGGAAAATCCCAGAAGTCACTGGTTCGAAATTCCACTAGAAAGCAAGAGAAGTGATAGAATCATAGAATCATTTAGGTTGCAAAAGACCTCCAATACTGAGTCCAGCCTTTAACCAATCACCCCCTTGTCACATCACAGCACTAGTGCTTCATTCAGTTGGTTCTTGAACACCTCCAGGGATGGGAACTCCACCGCCTACCTGAGCAGCCCCTTCCAATGCCTGACCACTCTTTCAGTGAAGAAATTCCTGCTGGTGTCCACCCTGCCCTCCCCTGCCCAGCCTGAGGCCGTTCCCTCTCCTCCTGTCCCTGTTCCCTGGAGCACAGCCCGACCCCCCCGGCTGTCCCCTCCTGTCAGGGAGTTGTGCAGAGCCACAAGGGCCCCCCTGAGCCTCCTTTTCTCCAGGCTGAGCCCCTTCCCAGCTCCCTCAGCCTCTCCTGGGGCTCCAGACCCTTCCCCAGCTCTGTTCCCTTCTCTGGACACGCTCCAACCCCTCAATGTCTTTCTTGTCATGAGTGACCCAGAACTGGACACAGCACCCAAGGTGTAGCCTCCCCAGTGCCCAGCACAGAGGGACAAGCCAGGGACAAGCCCTGGCTGCCTGGCTCTCCCAGCCTGGCCTTGACATGAGTCAGGACAGAGGCAGGAGCCAGCACGGGTGGCCGTGCTCCCCGTAACCCTGTTAGGGGTGGAGGTGTGCTCGCCCTAATGAGCACAGCATCCATCCCCTAACCTCGTTTGTGTGAAGGGTGACACAAGGCAGATGACAGCTGGGTACCTGAAGGATCTAATTAAAACCTATGAGAGGCTGGGCAGGCAGAGCACAGGGGATTGCTCATCCTGCTAGTGCTTAACAGCAGGAAACAGAAAAAGAAGGAATTGACTACTGGATTTACTAAAGGGCAGGTGGGGTTTCTTCCCTAAGTCGGGGATGTGCAGGGAGGGGCTGGGTTAGGGGACAGGGCGGGGTGTGCAGAGTGACAGGGGTTGGGGCTGGGGGACAGTGGAGCAGTGTGACAGTGCAGCCCTTCCCGGGATCACCCACATCTGTCTTCACCCTTAGTGCCTGTCTGTGCACACAGGTACCCTCAGCAGAGGGCATTTATCTTGCTTCCTGGGGGGAGCACATGCTTCCCCATCCATCTGCACACATCCTTTGCTGTTCCTTCCCTGCACGGACCTGCTGCTCTCTCTCTGCAGATGTGTGTCTGCATCCATTTATCTGGGTGTCAGATAAACCCCTCTCCTCATCCCTCTCTCCAATTACTTTGGATGCCCTTTCCAGCCTAGCACTTCAATTACTTTCTAAAGAACAGAGTAAAATAATGTCACATTTTCTTTCTTTCACGTGTTCGTTCCTTCCTTGGGTTTTTTGGTTTTTTTTTTTTCCATTTTTTCCATCTGGAACAGTCCCATTTTGTAAACGCCTGGAAGCAGAAAATTTTGCAGACACAAGAGCCTTGAGGCCTCGTTGAAGGTGCCGGGGGTGTTTGGGGAGAGCGACAAAACCCAGGACAATGGGAGCCCTGACGTCAGGCTCTATTTATACCTCCTCCTTTCAGAAACCTCCCTGGGACTGCGCTTTTCCTAGAGTTTTCTGCTCAATGCTGCAGCCTGAGCTGTACCTGTCCTCCCCAAAGGGCACAGTTTTATTTCTAGGCGTACCCTTGCAGCACAGGCCATATCACCAGGGCCAGGCTTCCGCAGGCAACATTTCATGGGAGGAGCAGTGTTGCCACAAGTAAGTCTGCTCCATGTGGATGAGGACCTGTGGAGGTGTTTTAGCTCCTAAATGTGCCTCTTGAAAGGTCAAAAGCATTACAGAGCTTTGTTCCAGTGGCTGGTGTTTTGGTGTTCTGATTTTTCTAGATGGGCGTTGTGGCTTTGCAGGGTTGGGTTGGACACTGGCTCTCTGAGTGAAGGAGAGATGTTTTTGAAGCTGGAAGTTTAATTACTGGCGAAGGGTAGTGGGAGAAACCACCATAAATCCATATGGTCCAAACTAGAGCAGGGTGTGGAGTGAGGGAAGGCCCATCCTGTGGTGTGGGGGACCAACTTTGAGCACCCTGAGCTGAGGGATGAGCATAGCAGGGACACTGAGACCTGGAGGGCTTTGCCAGTTCTGACCACGGTTATTATTCCAGGGAGTCATTGGTATTATTAGGAGCAGTCAGAGTGGCCCCTGGGGACATCCTACAAGTATTTTCCAGGTTTTATTTTTTCCTTCCAGATACTGCTGTTTTGCTTGTGAGTGTTCCTTAGACAAGTGAAAAAAGCAGCAGTTTGCTTGCAGGAGGGCGCTTTGTGTGAATAACAAACATGTGAGAAGGATGGAAGGGGTCTGTGTGGTTGGGAATGTAGGCATTACTTTATTCTCAGGGGGACAGAAGCAGCTGGGCAGAAGGGCATGGGGAAGAGTGGAAGAGTTTCATTGGGCACAGCAGCAGTGTGCAGGTACCGTGTGTATTCTGTTCACTGTCACTGAGGGACTTAGGTTCGGGCTTCTTCAGGCAGCTCAGTCCTCCCCCACAGGAGATCCCCATCCCCACTCCATAAACATTCAGGGATGAACCAGCACCACTCAATACATGGGAGTTAAACCCAGAGAGGTGAAGGGCCGTGCCCAGGGCCATGGCAAAGCTGGGGAGGACACACTCCCCCAGCCCATCCCGGATTTCCTGATCCCAGGGCTCTGCACACTTCCCCAGTGCTCAGCCCCACAGCCGAGCTGCTGGCCAGATTTCACTGAGTCTTCAGCACACGTGTTCACGCTTTTTGTTCTCACATCAGGCCTTCAAGGGAGCCCTGATGAGCTCATACTGGTGCTCTGGGAAAGGTGATGTTATCGAAGACTGGTGCAGGTGCGACCTCAACGCCTTCGATGAGAACGGACTCCCGAACTGCAGCCCTCTCCCTCCGCCTGTGTACGTATCCCTGTGAGCCCTCTGCTGACCACCAGCCCCTTTCCCGTGGGTCACAGTCCCCAGAACCACTCCATATCCCAGGGTCTCAGCCCATGGACACCTCCTTCTGCACCCTTGGGCGTGGGGGCTGCAGTGCAGCCCTCCTCACTGTGTGACTGATGCCTTTAGGATATCCTGGCTCTGGCTCCAGCCCTGGAAGGTTTCCTTATAGATTTTCATCACCTGATTAGCAAGGCTTGTAGAATGGGATTTCAAATGTTGAAAGAAATGGAATTACAGTGCAATTCATCGTGGCTTGTCAGAGCAAGAGCAAATCAGGAGCAAACTGATGGGGAATTAGCTGAGAAAGCAGGAAGACTGGCTCCAGCAAGCCACAAGGAGCAGAACACCTTCTTAGTGAGCCAATATCCTCGGAGGGGATTCATTTCCCATCTCGAGTCCAGCAAACATGCTGTGTGTTTGGAGCCAGACTCTCCATGGCCTTGTACTTGGTGTTGTCATCTACCCCGGAGCAGAGGGAGTGGACGCCTCTGCATTAGCACAGCCAGGAGCACAGAGCTCCTCTGCCTTCATCCCAGCCCACGTTGTTCCTGCTCTGGGCAGGAGCTCCGGCACAGCTGCCCTGCTCTGGCTCTCTCCCACACCCCTCTGAGGTTTGCAGCTGGGTGAATTCACGCCGCTTCTCCCCCTCTCTCCCTCCCTCACCTTTTCTTGCTGGCCATGCAGACCTGACCCTTCCCTGCTGTGGACTCAGCCCTGCTGGGTTTCAAGAACCTGGATCCTCTCCTGTTTTGTTCCTGGGGTGTTGGTCCTTGCTTACCTTGCTGAAGTTCAGCAGTTCTCCCAGACAATGAAAAGACAATAATATCTCTCCCTTTAGATGAGATATTTGGAGTTGCATGAGCTTGCCTTCTCCAGGAGCAGGGGAGGCTGCCAAGGGCATACAGTGCAATGGGCTGGACTCTGCTGAACTTCAGCTGGAAGTTCTTTGATGCTTACGAGCCTGCTCTGCCCCTGTGACCTCTGTCCTTGGGGCTTTGTGGGCACACCCACATGTGTGAATGTGGGCCTTTCTAGGGGTGGTGCTGCTTAGAGATGTGGATTCCTCCCCAGAAAGGGAGCTCATGTCTTGTTTTCTTGCTGTCTCCTGCCCAGCCTGCGGCTGTCCCCCAGCGTGGAGCCCTCGAGCACCGTGGTGTCCCTGGAGTGGCTGGATGTGCAGCCTGCCATCGGGACCAAGGTGTCAGACTATGTCCTGCAGCACAAGAAGGTGGACGAGTACACGGACACAGACCTTTACACAGGTGAGTGTGAGGGAGGGCAACCTCCTCGTGGTGCAGAGGGCTCCTGGTGGTGCTGCCTGTGCCTTACCTGGCTGGGAGCAGCTGCTTTGGTGGAGAGTGGTACATAGAGCCAAAATGTTACACGAGATTTCTGGAATCTTCTGCAGACATTGCTATTTGAAGGGAACGGGAATTACAAAAACACAGTGATGCAGAAGGAAATTATTTGCCCTTTTTTGTGCAGAAGAGCTGTGAGTTGAGTTTCTGAAGTGAGTGTTGATCTGATCAGTCTGAAATGCCACAGGATGGTGGTTGTAGGGGGAAAGTCATCCCTCAACAGCTCAAGGGCTTTACTGGTCTGTTCCAGTAGTGACCAGTGACCCACCTTTGAAAGGACACTTTCAGTTGTCTTGCACACCTATCAAAGGAACTCAAAACCTGCAATATTTAGGGAGATCATTCAAAGAGCACAAAATTTCTCCAGGAGAACCTGAAGATTCTCTGGGTTGGAGATTAGTTCTCAGGCTTGTACTGAGTGCTCTACAACTTAAAAAGGCTTTGTCAGCAACTCAATCCATGCTCCAGGAGCTGCTGGACAAGGCAGAGGGCTGTGAAGGATGGGACTTGATTTGAGTGAATCAATGATTGATTTCAGAAAATAGGACTTGAGACCCTGAGTGATGGCAGTGCTTCAGGGAAAGCCAGGCAGAACCTAGTGCTTTTTGCTTGAGGATTTTGGATGTAGTTTTTTGAAGAAGCTCACAAGAGTTGTCAGGGGCAGCTGGATTATTGACCAAAGCAGAGATTTACCTGGGACAGGGCTGGTGCTGGAGTGCAGAACCTCACAGTCCACGTGCAGACTTGCATGGGCTCCCAGGGCACCCTGGCAAGATGTTTAGCTGTGTTTCCTTTTTAGGAAGACAGGCTCAGGAAGATCATTTAGACCTCACAGCCACAGGGAAGTTTCCACCCTCTCTACTCATCTCAAGCCCGTGTATTCTGCTTCTGCAGCATAGACCCCACCATATCCAAAATTCGTGCTGCAAGAGCTGGCCTGTCTCTGCTGGAGAGAGCCAGATCCCCGCCTGCTGGGGGGTCCAGCTGTTTGTGGAGACCCCTGAAAGAAGGAGCAGGAGACCTGCAGGAGGTCCCTGGCTCATACACCAGTCCCATCCCATGGGACCTTCCTCCTACATCTTGCCAGCATCCCCTCCCAAAGCTGCTCAATGTGGCCATGGACACTGGGTTATGTCTCTGGCTTCACGGCATGGAAGAAGGTTTGTTCTTTATCTTGGAGGGGCACCTTGCAGAAATGGAGAAAGAAAACAAGCCACCAAAGGAGGGACTTTGTTTTGGATGGGGATTCCAGATTGCTCACACATCAGTCAGGTGAGGCCAGACCAGGGAAACATGGGGTTTCTCCTTTGAAGTGACTGGATCTTTGCCTGGCAGCCAGAGTAGGAAATACAGATTATTATTATTATTTTCCTTTTATGACTGCCATGTGTTTGACAGGCAATTGAATTCATTGTGGGGAGCTTCCCTCCCCTCTGCCTGCTCTGGGGGACTGTTTGGGACAGAATGACCCTATTAACAATTAAAGAGAAAAGCCAATCCTAAATATTTTTTTTTTTTTTTCTTCCCATGTTGTTTATAACCAAACAAATTCCTGCCTTCATTCCTTTCTTACCCTACAGGCCCCTAATGCCAGATGACTTGATTCCTGCAAATACCTTGTGTAGGTTTGCAGAGGTGCTGACTGCTACAGCTCTCTACAGCCAAAAATCCTGTCCTGGGTATCCCCTGACCAACATTACCACCCACCCTGCTGCACCACAGCTTCTCCCATCTGAGCACAAAAACAATAACTCAGCCTCAGAGGGGGAATATTTAGGAGGGGAGTGTGGGATATGAAATTTGGATGGCTTTTGATGGATATAGGCAGATCTTCTTTCCCCATCAGTCTCCCAGCTGCTGGCAGGGAAGAGCAGGTTGTTCCCACTGCTGGGAGGTACATCACAGGTATTTGCAGAGCAGGCCAACTCTGGGCTGGGAGGATCTGGCAAGATTGTAGGGCTCTTGAGGATGCTGCCACTCATTCCTTGGAACTCTTGAGTTTAAATGAGTTATTTGTACTTGGACAGTGATTATGTTTGCTTCATTGCAAATTACAGCCGTTTCTTGTTGGGATTCCTAGGACTGACAGGGGCTAGAGCTCTGCCAACCTGTTCTTCATTCCCATGGCATGTCAGGTGGTACCTGGTCATGGCCTCACCTGCCTTTTGCCTTCCTTCTGGCCCTCAAAAGCCTCCAATCTTTCACCCTTGCAAAACTCCTTGGCCTTTGCCTTGTTCTGTGACTGGAAGATGTCACCATTCCCTTGAGCCAGAAAACATTTGTTCCTCTTCCTCTTGGAGCGGAGTCAGGAGGGAGTTTTGAGCCTGGTCTAACGTGGCTCCCCTCTGCTCCCTGCAGGGCTCCACATGAGACAGGGATGCTGCAGGACAGGGCGAAGGGAGCCAGGAGCCTGCATGGCTCGGTTGCCCTCGGCTGTATGAGTTTTTTGTTTTTTTTTAAGAGGCTTGTTACTGGTGCTTAGAAAAACACAGCCCTTGGCCCATGTGAGGCAGAGAGGAGGTGAACTTGTGTGTGAAATAAACCACGCTTTCAACACCAGCGCGCGGGGAGCGAGCGGCTCCGCGCTCGGGAGCCAGCCGAGAAGACGGAGAGCAATTACATCCCAAACTGTTTATTAAAACTTGTGGAAATTAGTCATAACTCCATGTGTGTGACGGCTTTGTAGTTGAGTGATGCTCTTTGTTTGAACACGGGGCTCGGAGAGGGCGGGAGCGTGTGTGTGTGTGTGTGTGTGTGTGTGTGTGCAGCCCAGCCCGCCAGCGCATTATGTCATGGACCAAGCAGGCGCTGCACTTGAGAGAGGGAGAGGGAGAAATGTGTTTTACAGGGTGAGGTACAAACTGAAATGGCTGTGAACATCTGGAACTGATATTAGGCTTGGAAAATGTTTTCTGTCACTCCAACACTCCTCTGGAGGAAGGTTTCTGAAGTTAAGAAGCTCCAAAGGGGATGAGGGGGAGGGATGAGGGGATAGCATGGCTGTGGTGCAAAGTGCTTCTCATGTCTCCATTCTCCAAGCAGGGCCGTGTCCCTGCATCTGCCAGACATGGCAGCTGGGCTATCACCACTTCTCGTTGTTGTGGTTTGGCTTAGGATGTCCCCTGGACCAGCTGAGCCCCCCTTGCCTGAGCCAGCCCTGCATGGGGAGTGCAGCATCTTCTAACCTGTACTGGAAGACAGAAGGCTCTTTGCCCTGGCTTTAGGGTTGGAGCTGGGAGCTAAGCTGGGAGGCCTTGTGTGAAAGCTGAAGGGTGAAATCCTCAGGAGGGAATAGGCAGATCTATGCCTGGTTTAACACCACCTGGACCTTCTCTGGGGCCCACCTGGGAGGTCAGACCCACCTGCATATGGGGAGGCTGCTGTGAGTTTGTGTAATGCGAGGTTTAGAAGTAAAAAACCACTTTGAATGTGTTTTTAGAACTTTTTGGGGGATGGCTGGGGGAGGAGGAAGGGCTGGGCTTGGCTGTGTGATGGATTGGGGTTTGTGGGTTGGGCTGTGTTGCTCCTGGGGTGGTGGCAGTGTTGCTGATGTGACGTTCTCTATCCGTTTCTCAGAGTTCTCTCCCTGGTGCAGTTTTCTTCTCCATGTGCCCACATCTCTGTTGCTGCTGGGTCTCTGAACACCCATTTTTGGGGGCTTGGGGGTGCTGCCAAGTGCCTGCACAGGGCACAGTGAGGAGGCTGGGGAGGAGGTGGTTTGAGGGTATCTCAAAGAACTTTGCTGGTGATAAGTCAGACCTTGCACACTCTGATGTAGGCATGGACACTCCCTTAATCTGGAAATGGAGGGGACAAAACAAAATAAAGATAAAATTCCTTCCCTGAGGTCACAAGAGCTGTGATTTAATCTCAGCATGAGAGCCTCAGCATGGGGCAGTACTCACCTGTGGGGGCAGAGACAGGTGCAGGTCCTGGATCCCCCAGCCTGTGCCCTGTGGTCACTCCTGCATCAGAACCCTCAGGCTGAACACTGAGCCAGTCTGCACCTCCCAGCCTTTTGCCACCACTGGGGTGAGCAGCCCTGGACCTGAGTACAGAACATGCAAGAGCTGTGTCCTTGAGCATGAATCCACCTCTTCGTGCCTGTGCTTCAGCATCAAAGTGGGTACAACTGGGGAGATGCAGACAAACAAAGAATCACTTGCTGTCCCCGTGGTTGAGGGTGACAGTGAGTGTGAACGAGGTGTTGTCCCAATGCACTGCTGGCTCAGAGCTGCTGATGGCAAATCACAGAAGGATTAGGAGGCTCTGCCCCTCTCCCAGCCCTTCATCTTGTCCTGCTCTGTGCTGGCTCCCACACTGGGATTTTGCCCCTTTTCTGTCGTACTTCACACCTCAGTGTGTGCTGACAGCTGGATTGGAGTAGCTGGGGACATTGTGGGGTATTGGCTGAACAAAGTATACAACAAACAGGTGAACAGCTCACCTGCTTCTGTACAGCACTCAGTTTGGGATGCCATGTCCAAGCAGCACAGGTGAGATCTCAGCAGAGACCCCCAGGCTTTAACTCTGATGGTGTCAAGGGATCCTGGCTGCTCTGGAGTCTTTTTGCCATGTTCATAAGAAGAAGTAGCCCTCATCCAGAACAGCTTGTAATCCTCAAAGAAAGGAGAAGAGGAACACAGCCTGCTGACTGAGCCTGTTGGAGATCTCAGAGCAGGAGAGTGCAGAGCCTGGCAGCTAGCTCAGAGCCTTCTGTACTGGGAGTCTTGATACACAGGGCTGTGGCATGGAGCAGAACCAGCAGGTAACCTGGGACAACAGACAGGGCAGGAAGACGTGCAGGAGTGGAGAGTAGAGTTGTATAAAACCTGTGCACATCACCATGCCAGCTTTGCAGACTGCTCTGGAGCAGAGCTGCTCTGCAGAGGAACCTGTGCACA